GGACTCTCTCTTGCTTCTCCTGCAGAATTTCAGGATGTTTCCAGCACAGAAGGGAAAAATAATCTCTCCAGTTCTAGGTTTGTCCCAGGGTGTCAACAGGATCCCCACAGGGATTACAGATGAATTATCAGATGAAGCACCTCAGCTGACTCCTATTATATGTGGAGGAGCAGTAGCTCTAAAGGTTCCCCCAAATGATGGAGTTCATCTTATATCCAGATTTGAGCCCACCACTTTTAACAGATGAAGTTCAATTAAGCAGCTTGAATCCAGGATGTCAGTCAGGATCTATGTCTTATGACCATTGGTAATGGTTGGAACACTGATAAACCGGCTCCTTTTCCAGCTCTGCATCAGGGCTTGATTGTCAACAACCCTTGGTTGGAGATTTTGAATTATCCATCATGCATTGTTTTCTACGTATCCAAGATTGGGTTCTAGCAGGACCTGGTCCAAGATGGTAACAGATTTTTCCTGTAAAAGTTGGAGTTGTGATACAGATGGACCAGTTAATCCAACGTTTAGCTTTTAGATCAATTAATTATTTACCACAACTGACTAAAGCAACAATTTTACTACAGCACATCAATTCCTAAGGCATCATCCATGTATTCCTGATGTTTCTTAAAGATAAATGGAATGGGTTTTCTCTAGTAATAAGAGGGGATGATCTTCAGCAGTACCAATGTCTGTTGAGCTCTTTACTCCCTCTCATTTCTCCAACAGATTAAACCGATGTAGGCTAAGATTAAAATTGTGTTAGGGTTCTGAACATTGTGAGCTGAACTGTGAGTAGAAACAAAGGCTCATGGCTGTGCTCCCAAGTTCTTTCGATTTACTGTGTCTTACAGATATCAGCTGTCCTTTTTAATCTAACAGAAGAATGCTTATGCATGCTCTTCTGGACTGTCTGATTGAATCTGGTCAGTACAGTATCAAATAAATGTTACATTTGAGTATGAAAATCAAGTGTCAAAACCTGGTTAGCTCTCAAGCATAGGAATGTCAGTCAGTCATTTTCTACCGCTTATCCCATAGTGGGTCGCGGGGGAGCTGGTGCCTATCTCCAGCAGTCTATGGGCAAAAGGCGGGGTACACCCTGGACAGGTCGTCAGTCCATTGCAGGGCAACACACAAACAACCATGCACACACTCATTCATACACCTAAGGGCAATTTAGAGTGACCAATTAACCTAACAGGCATGTCTTTGGACTGTGGGAGGAAGCCGGAGTACCCGGTGAGAACCCACGCATGTACGGGGAGGACATGCAAACTCCATGCAGAAAGACCCCCGACCGGGAATCAAACCCAGGACCTTCTTGCTGCAAGGCAACAGTGCTACCAACTGCGCCACCGTGCAGCCCGCATAGGAATGTTTGACATTTAAATACAGGTTGTATTACATCAAAATGACATCAAATGTTCTGCCTAAATCTCACATATTAGTAAAGTGATAACAATCAAAGACTTGAACATAATTTTATTGTGTTGCTTAGATAAAATTATTAGAAAGGAAAATGAATAGGAAGGCTAAATCCAAGCAGACACAGCTCCAGGGAATTTCATGTTTCCCACAGTCTATAGCTTTTTCTATTTTGTTGAGTTTTATGTAATAAAGTGATATGAAGTAGACCAAGGAACCCCAGACAGATCAGGGTTAAAGCTGTGTAGAATATTAAAGCAGATTTGGTTAATAAAACAGGGTCACAAACTTTGAATGTCCATGACAGGCTTGGCAAACAGAGTAGCAGAAAGACCCCATGGTAGCTCTGGAGGGGCTGCACAGCTCAGTTGGGAAAATGTGTTAAATGAACTGTTAGTCATGCACTGTGTGTCATGCCTTTATTGAAGAATGGCAACAAGATAGCCATAAAACCCTTCCAGTTTGAAAGCATGTGGAAGAAGACGCTCTGGTCAGATGAGACCAAAATTGAATTTTCTGGCCTACACGCAAAACCTTTCTCTACACACAGAATCTTTTACCATCTAACAAACCTGACAGGAGAAATAGCAAAGACATTACTGTGAGTTCAAACTCAGGAAACTGAGCTCAGTCGGATCAGAGGTTAAAATAAAAAAAAAAAAAACTCAAACTGAATTTATTTTAGTAAATCAGGAGATATTTGAATCCCTGTGGAAGAACAGTAGTATATGGGCTGTTCTGCTTTTAAATCATTCACCTTGTTCAAATTATTCTAATGGATCACTTAAACCTTTCTAAAATGCTCCTCTTCTCACAGAAAATGGATGAGAAAATTCAAGTAAAAGCATAATGAAGCTCTTCCGCTTCTGATAAGCTGTTAATTCCCAGAAATCTTTCAGCTGACTGCAGATAAAATGGGGCATCGGGGCCGGGTCACTCTGTTTAAGCATTTAGATGTAGCCCAAAGAAAGTTAAGGCCAGGGAAAGTAAAGGAAAGGCTTTATTTTTGGTGCTACTCAGCCTCTGGCAAACTGGAAGATGTCCAGCAGCTGTAAAGAAGCAGGGATTTCTTTAAACGTCAGTTTTGAGTGTAGAATAAAAATGAATATGAGATGCAACATTTAGCGGCAAATCTGCAGCTTTTGTTTCTTGCTTTAATGCACAAAGCAACATGACTAATAAAAAAGTCTGCACCTAGATTCAAGTAAGAAATAGAAGTTAAAGGTTTCATATTGGAAACGGTAAGCCTGTAATGTTTTAGCTGGTAAAAAGTTATTTAACTGAGACCGCATCATGCTTCCTTCATATGGAGTGCCACGGAAAAGTATGTGCCGCCTTTTTCAGTGGTTACACATAAACATTTTAGATTATCATAGAAAGAAAATCTGAGTAAATACAAAACACAGTAATTAAATGATGATTTCCATAATTTGGAAAAAAAGAGCTATCCAAACTTACTCAGCCCTATGTTACTTCCCATAAAGACAATCTAGGAAAAGGGGGGGGGTCAATAATAGTCCAGGAAAGAAGAATCAGCAGAAAGGCAAGTAACACAAATGTCCGTTTATTTTGAAAAAAACATAATTGTAGAACAAACAGTGGACCTGGACAGCATATAGCAATTGAAAAAAATAGCCTACAGTCTCAAAGGGACTCAGAAAAAGAAAACTTAAGCCCCCTCTTAAGCTCAAGCCACGCTGCACAGCCACAAAACCAAACCAAGACAAGTTTTCCTTTACTTAAAAACCCTTCTCTAAGGAAACATCCCTCAATTTAGCATACTCAAAACCACAAGGCAAACCAAGCTCTCACCAAGCTCATGCAGCACACTTGCTGCCAAATGGCCAACTGGCAATGAGACCAGCTCCTCTCCCAGCTTTAACCCAGCTCGTAAAGGGCAATGTGCTATCAGCTTCATCCTCCCAGCTGCAGGAACCTAACAGCAAGAAACAACAGAAACTCGGGAAGAGAAGGATCCAATCACTGACATGCAGACACTGCTGCATGTAACACCTGTGTAAAAAAAAGCTACTGACCCCTAAACATTGGTTTTGTCACTGTGGAAGCAAATTGTACGGGTACTGAAGACGCAAAGACCCAGACCATTATACTGCTACCACCATCTTTGACTATAAGGATAATGTTCTTTTTCAGAAATATTATGTTAAGTTTAAGCCAAATGTAATAGAATGCAAATCTTCCAAAAAGTTCTACTTTCATCTCTTCAGTCCACAAAGTATTTTCCAAAATGTCTCAGGGATCAGCTTTACTTTTTTGGAAAATGAGTCAAGTCTAGGTGTTTAGCTGTGGTTTTCATCTTGTAACTCTGCAGTGGAGGCCATTTTGCCCAGTCCTTTCTTATTGTTGAATCAAAAATATTGAGTTGACCTGAGACTGAGGTCTACAATGATTTAGATTTTGTTCTACGATTTTTTTGTGACCTACTAGATGAGCCTTTTTTGGAATAATTTTGGTAGGCTGACCACTCAGGGGAAGGTTCACCACTGTTCCAAGTTTTCTCCATTTGTGGATAATGACCCTTATTGTTGTTCACTGGAGTTTCAAAGCCTTAGAAAGTAATCTTTAATCTTTTCACAGACTGAGGGATCATTTCCTTCTCATCAGTCTTACAAAGGTCATAGTATTTTCACATATGTAAAGGTCCATTAGGATGGATTTTCCCCCTTAATAATTCTAAAACTGTAATTGTATTTACTCAATTCACCTTTGTCTGACATAAAAACTTGTTTGATAATCTGAATAATTCAAGTATGAGAAAAACAAGAGCAGAGGAAATCTGTAAGGAGACAAATACTTTTTCATGGCACTATACATTGAACTATTGTAAATGGTTACAGTACTTGTTGTCCTCAGTGAATCTATCCATATCTGTCCATATTGTTTAAAATAGTGCAGAACAAATGGTTATTAAAGTGATACGGCCATGGCTTTCCCCTCTTTATCCACACAAATTGGTGTTTTAAATGGGTCTGCCATAAGATTAGGTGGAGGTTCGTTACTAAACAAAAAAAGCACTTCAATTATTAAGATGCCATGGGTTGCTCAGTCAGTATTGATATTTTTTTCAGCTTTGTACATCACAAAGTTTTGAGTCAAGTTATCACCATAATTACACTAACTGCAGCCAATTCTCCACAACGTTCTGCTCCAAGGATCCCACAAAAACAGAACTTACATGGCTTGAAAATCCAGTATTATTGACCCATAGTATACTGTACTCCACCCTAAACAAATGTCAGCTTACCTTTTGTTATTCATTATACTTTCTGCAGGAGGTCGCAACCTCCAATAAAGTCATCTTTGTTGTAGTATTCCATGGGAGCCAAAGCAAAGGTTGCACTTAATTTTTAAGTTAAACGCTCAGGTAAATCTGATCCATGCTGATCTATCCCTTCCTTAGGATTGTTGACATGAAACAAATTACCACAGAAAACTGTCTTGTTTGTGAATGTGCTGTTTCTTTAAATTTCCCTTTTGGGCAGAGCTAAAGGCAATAAATACGGTGACAGGTTCCGTTTCATGTAGTTGTGCACAGTGGAATTGACAGAAGAGGTGCTGGGTGGCTCAGTTAGTAGGGCAGAGGCTATAGTCCTCGATGTGGTTGTCCTGGGTTCAAATCCCAGTTTTGGGCCATTTGCTGCAAATGGCCCAAAAGGTTTGTCACAAACATGCCAAACCTTTTGGTTTAAGAAACAAGATTAAGAAACAAGATTTGAGTTCATATACTGTAACCATAAAAGTATTTCCTTCGAGACTCATGTTTTTCAACCTGCAATGTATTTTCATCCTCCTGTTATGATGTGAAGGAAATCTCCTCAAACAGAAATAAAAGTGAAAATTCTGGCAGGTGTTCCCGAAGGATCTGTCGCTGATGTGGGTTCACATCACGCTGAATAAACATGTTTACAATCCATCCAGGAGGTCTCCAACAGTTCAGGTTATTCAGTCACACACCAACACAGCTGTGAATCAGAGACATTATGTCAGAGTGACTTCTTACTTCCCTTACCGACTTGTCTTCCTAACGTCTTGCCTGTTGTAGAGATGATGTGACAGGGAGGCTCCTCTAATCTTGCAGTTGTTGGGGTCAAAAAAGGACGCTATCTTTGAGTAAACAAAGGATGATGTAAAAGGCCAAATGCAGTTTCCCCCTCTTCCCACCGACATTCACTAGCTCCTTGTGGTGGGTCACAAGGTGGTCTCAGGCCTGAAGGGATTTATAATCCTATCTGTGTTTGCTTTGATGTCCTGTCACAGTGGGACATATACAAAAATCTTCATAGGGGAGGCGTTTAGAAGGCATGTTGATCAGATATTTGAACTACCGTAACTGTCTCTTAAAGCAGACAAGCAGCTGCTCTACTCCAAGCCCTTCCCTGGTTGACTGAGCTATACACCTTATTTCTTGTATCCAGGATCTTGTCCTTCAGTCATAATTCATAGGGTAGGGTTGGAGAGTAGATGAACCAGTAAATCCAGAGCTTCTTCATCAGTATTGGATAAATATCTTCATTACTACAGATAAAGACCCATCCATTTATCCATTTCATTTTCTTTCCTGCCATCTCTCAGAAACAAGACAGGAGTAACAGCGCCTCTGCAGAGGAGTTAGTGGTGCATTTTATGGAACTCAGTCCAGATATGACAGCTTCTCTTTGAGAAGCTGTCATATCTGGACATATCAGCAACACAGATGAACAAATGACTCTAAGTATAATGTTCTGTGTTGCTATTGCCTGTCAGTGCAAACGAGATAAATACAGCTTTCATGGCTGGATGGTTCTGCTTCCTATTTGTGATAGGAGCTTCAACATGGAGCTTCAACAAGGAGCTTCAACATGCACTTGAGCACTTCACAGCCAACTGACCAAAAGAACAAGTTCATGGATACAAGAAACTAATACAAACTTGCTCAGATGGAGGGGGGAAGGAAAACTGTTCAGCTTGTGTACAATAAAGGACCTGAATATTTCAATCACTTCTGCTAATAATCTTGCTTAAAATAACAAATAAAAGATGATGGGTTCTACCACTCCCTCAAATCAAATTCACACTTGTTTCTAAATGTTTTCTAGGACTATTGTGGTCTCTCTATTCCTACCTGTGCAAGTACCCAAAGCCAAATGTGGTTGACTTCAGTTTTTAATGTTTGTTTTCCTGCTTCTGTCAGATGGATACACCACAGACGACATTGAGTTTTACTGGCAGGGAGGAAGCAACGCCGGATCAGTCACCGGTGTGGAGAACATCGAGCTTCCCCAATTCTCCATCATAGATTACCAAACCCTCTCCAAGAAGGCCGTGTTTGCCACAGGTAATAATAAACCCTGTTTAATGAAAAAAGTATTTTAGATGATTCTTTGTTTACAGTATTTAGATTCTATTCTGGTAAATATTGATGATTTTCAGTGTCTGTACTGACCAACTATAATGTATGTATAGAAAGATTTAGTAAAATATTGTGCAGAAACTTATGTTTCATTATTTGTCTTTTATCACCAATCTGTTTAAAGATCACAAGGGTTTTCTACCATTTTCTTCACCAAACAGGTTCATATCCACGTCTGTCACTGAGTTTTAAACTCAAGAGGAATATTGGCTATTTCATCTTGCAGACCTACATGCCATCCATCCTGATCACCATCCTGTCCTGGGTCTCCTTCTGGATAAACTATGATGCCTCAGCTGCCAGAGTGGCTTTAGGTCAGTGACTTTTCTTCACAATTTACTCTTAGGTTAAGTTACCTTTATTTGGTCTTGTTACCTAAAAAGACAACAAACTTCCATGGCTATTTTTACATGATATTCACTCATGAGATTTGGGGGATCTATTGTAGAAATGTATAGACTTGGCTTGTGGCACTTTTTGTTTCTTGTTGTGTAATAAAATATTTGGGATTTTTCTCTTTCTATCTACCCTATGTGAATTGCACAGTTCCTTACTCACTAGTTTAGAAAATATTATTTAATAGAGACAGAATCCATGTTATTTCAAGAAAATATAATTCACAATTTAAAGACTGATTTGCTTATTGCTAATTAAAATAAAGTTTTCTAACATGAGAGTTGCACAGTAATCTGTTTTTGCAAAAATAACATTTTCCAGATAATTTCAATTAGATATGCAATCATCAAGACTTTTCTGTATAGAAAAAGAAATATTGTTTCTCCTTTTTTAGTCATGGCCACACATTAGATTTAACATTAGGTTCAAAAAATATTTTCAGCTTAAATTTTAAACTCCATATTACATACAAAAAAAAAAAAACACAGACGACTTAAAAAAATTCACAAATCAATCTGGCTCATAATCTCAAAATCTTTCTGCACTTCTGGACCTTTCCTTTGAATGACCTCTTTTACATAAAAAACAAGGAAATGGTCTATGGGGGAATGTTTCTCTGGTTGAAGATTTATCTAGAGTCGAGGGAAGTTCTGTGTCATAATGCTCAATGTTGAAAATCTTATTCTCTTAACTGATTTAAAATCTAATATTCATAGAGTTTATCAGTCTCTCAGGAGTCTAAAAAAATCTGTTTTATTACCTAATTCTGATTGCAATTTCTACTTTAAACTGAGAGGAGGAAGAAAGGAAGGAGAAATTCAAAGTTTCTGGACCATCCAGACCGGTCAGCTTTTAGCATCAGCTGTTGGTTTCTGTCTGTTTGATGTCTTGTTGGTTTCTCTCGTTGTGTTCAGAACTAGATTGAACACGAAAGATGGAAAGTTACTAAGCAATGCTGACTACATGTGAGGTAGATGGAGGCTAGAGAAATTCGAATCTTGCAACATTTACACAGAAATAAATGCATATGGAATAGTGTAAAACACTGGCAAAAATATATATCCCAACCAAAACCAAGAGGTTGGCCAGGCCTCTAAGCTGAGTAGGCAAGGCTTTTCGATGATGTCTTCCTGAATGTGATCCTGTGAGTGCAAGCTCCTGGTGGAGGAGACATCAAGTGGGACTGATCAATCAATCAGAAGTGGTCTTGGGCTAACTTGAGTCTCAACAGACAACCAAATAAAGACCTGAAGGCTGAGAAAGACCTCTCCAAGTACCACAAATGTCAACAAAGTATCACTGCGGCCATAACACACTCATACTATTTCACATTTAAAGAGTTAATCTTTTCATTTAAAAAGAGACTTCATTCATGTTCAAGGCTTGACACTAAAAATTAACATTTAAAATGACTAATTATGGTTTCTTTTACAGCTTTTTGGCTTTCAAAATATAAAAAACAAGACAATTCCTATAAGCATAAATCTTAGTTTTGTCTTGTTTTAGGAGGAACTTTTCACATCTGTTGGCAGCTTTCATGTAAAGACAGGGTACAGTAGCATGAGCAAAGTCATGTATTCTTTATGTGTTGGAGACTAAAGGACACCAACCATACAACAGGAAAAGGTTTTTAGTAGATAGAGAAGTTCTGAGGACATTTTGAAGACAGCTGAAGAAAAGCAGTTCTTGTTGGTGACATGTCGGATCTGAGATGTTTGTGTGAACTACACAACCAGAATTATGAGGACTGTGATGTTCGCCAGAATGTTGCAGTAAGACTGACGATTAAATATTCTGATCAATTTTGAATCTTCCGTTTAATTGTGCGCATCTGCAGGTATAACTACTGTGCTGACCATGACCACCATCAACACCCACCTGAGGGAGACCCTGCCGAAGATCCCCTACGTCAAGGCCATTGACATTTACCTCATGGGCTGCTTCGTCTTTGTGTTTCTGGCCCTGCTGGAGTATGCCTTCGTTAATTACATATTTTTCGGCCGGGGTCCTCACCTACAGAAGAAAGCGGCAGAAAAGGCAGCAAAGTCCAACAACGAGAACAAGAGCCGACTTGAGAGCAATAAAGTGCAGGTAGGTGAAGATCTGAGTGGAAAAATCTAGACACTTGAGCCTATGGCATGCAATAAAAAAATAAGACTGGGTCAGTATTACTTGTCTGATGACACAGCCACTTACATATTAGGAAAGTATGAATGTTTTACTAAACAAATTTAGGAAACTTTATTTAAAAGATTTGTTCGGAAATCTAAAACTTAAAGCCCTAAAATGTCAGGTTTACATCACTGAAAATATCTATCTTTGTTGTATCTTTGTAGTAGGATGAAACAGAGCCATCTGCTGCAGGACATTTCATACCAACCATGCATCAATTCATACTTACAAAGTGGATGTTTCATATCTGCTTTGGCAACTGAGGATTTAAAGTAATTTTTCTATATGCTACTCGTATTTTAATAGAAGAAAACGTGACTTTATGACTCCAATAAATAATGTGCCAGCAGAAAGCCTCTCAGTTATTTTGGTTTGATCATAAGTCATAGTCTTTCATTTCAAAAGAGTCAACTGGCCCAAATGGAGATAAGAAGATTAAATAAATGGACATAGGTTGTAATGCTAAGTTTCCTGAAAGTAATATGCAATTATATTATACATGAAATTTAAACAATGGTATGAAAATGCTTAACTATAAAGAACATTAAACCAAAATGATATAGGTATAGAGCTAACAAACGGTTTGTCTGCGGGTACAAAAAAGAAATAGGATTGGATGAAACAAAATGAAATGAAATGGTAATGCATGGTTACAAATGGAGATATGAAGAAGTGA